GGGGAGCAGCTCATAGTAGATGATTCCTTGCCAATCACACCAAACACACAGCAAAACCTTCCTGGCCATCAATCCGGTCTGGGCCGCTTCCCCGACCGTTTGTGCTCGTTATTGTCGTAAGTGACCTATTTTTCATCGCAAGTCACAATTCGCTTCAGAAACGGGTCAATTTGGTTGCGATTTAGCGATTCATTTTTGAATCCAAGGTCATGCAAATGGTTCCAAACGGTTTTCTGGCTTATCTTTAGTTCCTCAGCAATTAAATAAGTGCTCACGTGACCGTCTGTTTTTACTGAAATATTTTATCGCAATTTTCGACGACAATTGACCAATATTATGGAAAATTAATTTTTCTAAATGCGGTCGCCCTTAGGTAAGGAATGTCGAATGAGCGGAGGCGGCTCAGAACCAACTGCAGGCCTCTAAATTTGATCGAAAAACATCAAGGCACATACCAAAAATTGGAGGAGGAGCTGGGCCGAAAATCGCTTCAGTGGTTACAAAGTGCCATTTATATACTATATATATATATTATAGATTCATGATGTGAATAAGTTCATTGGCTTCTACTTCCGCTTACGAAACGTAAATACTTTTGATAATTTTATGTTATGAAATAAAATATGGCATTATCGATTCTTTATTTTACAAAATTTATATTTCAATTCAAAATATTTAAACAGCTTTTTAATTAAAAATATATTTTTTCACTTGGTATTTACTTATCAATGCTCATCAGCAGTGCTATATATGAATTTTCGTTGTGATTGTTTATACAATATTTTTCAGCGGGGTATGGGCACAGCCACGACGTTCTTCTCAACTATGAAGCGAATAAGCTACGTTGTATGCACCTTATCCTCGAAACCCTTGTGACAATTCCAATAGTTGTCGAGTGGTGGTGCAATTTATGGCGCTCATTCAAACTGTCAAGCTACCACAGAGTCCTCAAAGGTGTTACCTGCTCTCATATGAGAAATAAGCTCACGTAACATGAGAACCGCTCCACCGAATTCAAACAAATTTGTGCATCATACTGATCATGCAGCTGGTCTACAAGAAGTTTACTCGCATTTTGAGAAGGGGGTCATGGTATCTCTTCGTTAAAGGAAAAGACCTGCAAATTCTGATATGAAACTGTCAAAAAGAAAGCGCCAAAAATGACACTAATTGCTTGGGATGAACTCACAATGGCGTAAAAAAAAATGTTTCGGGGTTTCTGCTGAATTCATGGCTTTTGTTAAAAGAGAATAAACATAATTTAAATAGAACATGAGTTCAGCAGTTAAGTATCATCTATATCAGACTGTGCACTTCAAGCTGAATATAAAGGAATTATTTTTCATTTTACTTTCCATGATAATCAATATTAAAAAAAAGAACTGTTCGCATTTTTTTTATTTCATTGGCTGATTAAGAAAGAGAGTTTCAATTAACAGCATCTTACGTGCACAAATGTGCTAGTATTTAACTAGTATGAAGCTGAATAGTAGTTGCTGTTGTTGTTGTTTTTTTGTTGTTAAAAAGTGGTTGTTGTTGTTAAAAAGTTGGTGTTGTTGTTGTTGTTAAAAGGTTGTTGTTGTTGTTGTTGTTGTTGTTAAAAGGTTGTTGTTGTTGCTGCTGTTGTTGTAGCGCCTCGCAAACCCTGCTTAGGTACATGTTTGATCAAAAAAAAAATTGCTTGTTGGTGTTGCTTGACTAGATGAGTTCTTTTGGGATTAGTTACTAGTTTCTTTGACTGCAGTTAACATGATACTTGTGTATAAATATATAAGTATATAGGCCGCCGTATTCCTTCCTGTTAAAATGTAATCGATATTTATGCATTTTTATTTATTTATATTTTGTTATTCGTACTTTTCTAAACATTTCTGTTGCTAAAACTTATCGCTACAACTTATCACCTACATACATACATACATACATATGTGTGTATGTAAATATGAATGTATGTCAATGCACTAAAAACTCGTTACACGCACCAATAGCTATGATTCGCATTGACTTTGCAGCGGTTTTGATGTCGGTCAGAGATATATATGTATATATTTATATGTACATATGTACATACGAGCTCCCATACATCTGCATGTTTAATCAGTTGAATGCTTATAAAAAAAAACCGCGCTAACGCCTTCCGATTCCGCCGCTTGCCCAAAGCAATAAACAATGGAATTGCGAACGACTTGTATGTACATACATACATACATAAAATATATATTTTTCTGCAATTAAATCAATTACTCTAACTGTTTGTATTGTTTAATGTTTTTTTTTAAATTTTTTGCGCATTTATACAATTCAATTTCTAACAAATAAACAAATGTGTAACTTAATATGCTTCAAGATGTAGAAGTATATATATACTATATACATATGTACATATGTATATACAGAGTGTCGTACAAAATATTTTGGACTAATACTAATATTGGTATAACCTTCTGCCGCAGTCTTAAATGTAATTTTAAATATAATATAAGAAATTGTGGGAAATTAAAATCGAAAAAAACCTAAGAAAAATTCAATTCTTCTCTGTGCAAAAACATATAGAAATCGTCCCAGCTTCCCTTAGACGGTGAGTGGCGCATAACTCAGCAGTTCGTTTCATTATGAATACTACAAAGAAATGGAAAGTTTCGGATCTCATCACCGTGGAGTAGAACCTAAAGCAACAACACGGTACGAGAACTCACAGATACTCATTCAGCTAAAGAGGGATGCAGGAAAGTCGGCATCAAGCGTAGTTAAAGGTCATGGTTCCTCTAAAAAGTTTTGAAAAAACTCAAATTTTTGTTTTGCTTTAATTTCTCAGAAAATACTCTTAGAAATAATATCCAATTAGTCCCAAAGGTCCGCAAGACCAAGAAGTAAGTTTAGCAGAGGAGAGAGCATGTCATTCTATTGAAGTTGGAAAATGCCAAAATACGGTGGATTTAAGGCATCCTTGTTGTTGTTGTTGTTGTTGTTAATCGTTTTATTGTTGTAGCTGTTCGCACCCCCCTTAGGTACAGGTTTGATTAATCTAAGTCGCCGAGATCACCTAGTGGGAGGTCCAAGAAACGGGCTGTTTCGGCGGGATTGGACTAAAGGGAGAGGAGGGGAGTTTGATGAGTCGGTTTAAGGCGGAATGTGAAGAGGTAGTTAGTGTCGCACGGAGACTCTTCACATGCAGGGCATACAAAGGATATGCTGGATAAGTAGGAGTTTAACCTGCTACAGTATCCAGACCTAAGTTGTGCCACGGTCACGCGGGTCTCTCAAGGCAGAGCGAGTTCGTTGTCTGCAATGGGTGCTGGCTTTTCTCCGAGCACGCTATTCTAGAGAAGAGAGTCTCTGAAGGTCTTGACTGACTCCATCAGTACGACGTCCTGTCCAGCGGTCCAGTGTCAATGCATTTACGTTTAGTGCGGTTATAGCCAACACTTTACTAACTTCATTTTAATGAGGTTTTGAGTTTTCTTACTACCAAATGCTATTATTTTCACGGCAGTTGCATATAATATGAGAGGATTAACAAAAGTTCGGTTATTTAAACAGATTTTTTTTCTTTCCTTCCTTGTCCTTCTTTATCTTCTCTACATAATCACTATTGATCTCAATGCATTTCTTAAGCCTATAGATCCACTTCTGAAAAAAGTCTTCAAAATCTTGCTTTTTAAGTTTATCAAACTCAGCATTAACCGCTTTAATTATCCCTTTTAATTTTTTTGGAAATAACCAGAAGTCACAAGTTGCTACATCGGGGAAATATGGTGCTGGACGTATTTCTTCGATCTCAGAGATCGCAATAAAATTACTCGTTATTCCAGCAGTGTGGATTGGCGCGTTGTCATGATGTAAAAAGTAGCGCCACAAATCCTCTTTCTTCCTGTTTTCCAACAAACTTTTGAAGTAAACTGACATCATTACTTTTGCTGCTTGTTTTTGTTGCTTAGATTTTACGGGTTGGCTTGCTCCTTACCATGGCCTACTGTTTGGTTTCTGGATGGTACTTATAGAACCAAGATTCGTCACCAGTAATGACTGTACTAAAGTTGCCAGACTGACCATTTCCGAATTTCTTTGGGAAAAATTGAGCGAAATGCACACGAATTTTTTTTGTGCCTCCCTTAAAATTCGTGGTATCCATCAATCTGCTCGATATCCCAGATAAATACTTAATATATCCCAGATAAATACTTAATATACGCCATATAGCCATGGCATTTCAAGCTCAATTTATTAGCAATCATTTATTGTGTCAATCATGGGTCTTCGTCAATTATGAACTTCACCAAAGCTACTATGGGAGATTTTGATCGACCTGCCAGGACTCAACCTCTACAGTAAATTGCTCGGTCTGGAATCTTTGGAACCACTTAGAACTAGTCTTAAAGACGAATTTCTGTTTGCATTGGTGGCTGACTTTCGTCTGACTTATCTTCAGCTATTTTGCGTTTTCTCGTCTACATTTTAGCCGATCGTTCTTAAATTTGAAAGGAAGACTAACAAAGTAATTGCAAAGCATTTAGTATTTTGAGATGTAACAAAAACAAATTGAATGCCACCAACTGACCGAACTTTTGTTAATCCTTTCGTATGTGCGAAAAAGCAGTGAATGACTCCTTTTCCACAATTTATTTACGCACATCCATATACCGGATGGAAACTTGTTGGTAATTTTCCTCTATTAAAGTAGTCGGAGTATGCCCATAAACACACAACTGTTCGTTTGTTGCTTCACGGAATTGTCTATATCACTTTTTTTTCGTTTTGTTTTGCTTTTTCTTCGATTGTTGAGCATTTCCGTAATAGCAAATCAAAGCTTTGTGAGTGAAATATACATATGAATTAATTTTTATTTATGCCTTTATATAACATAGGCATACATACACGTACATTCATATTTACATATGGTTACTGTTATCTAATACATACAATATATTTTACACTTAGTAAATATTTATCATCTTATCATAATGTTGACTCACAGTTATCATTTTCTTCTCTCCTCGCAGTAACGTACAACACACAGTCGAAATGGGTCTACTCAGCGAAGGCACTCCACTCTCTTGGGAAGAAACCAAAAAATTGTCTAATCATGTACGCGAACATGGTATTTCGCAGTTCATTAATCTCTATCACAGGCTAAAAGATCGCACTGGTGACATACTCAAATGGGGCGATGAGGTTGAATATATAATTGTTAAATTTGACGATGACCAACAAGTCGCACGTGTTTCACTTAAAGCAGAGCAATTGCTTAGTCATCTAAATGAAAAAGAATTGGCGGATCCGAATGGTGTCAAATCATTATGGCGTCCAGAGTATGGTGCATATATGATTGAGGGTACGCCAGGCAAACCATTTGGCGGTCTGATGGCACATTTCAATCTCGTTGAAGCCAATATGCGTTATCGCCGTGAAGAGGTCACCGAATTGTTGGACAAGGACGAGTGTGTCATGTCCATAACGAATTTTCCACGTTTGGGTGCACCAGAATTTACACATCCCATCTATTATCCGAATCCGGATGATCCGAATAGCTCGGCTAAATCGTTATATTTCCCAGATGAAGCCATATATCCGGGTCATCCACGCTACAAGACGCTAACACGTAATATACGCAAGAGACGTGGCGAGAAAGTCGCCATCAAATTGAAAGGTATGTGTGGTACAAACCCGGCGCTTTTGCTTAAATAATTTACACAATTTTTTTTTATTTATTTATTCTTTATTTTTACAATATTTCCAACAGTTTTTAAAGATGTCAACACAAAGTTGCCTGTTGAGGGCGCTCCTAAAGGTGAACCCGATGTAGTGTTGTTAGATGCTATGGGTTTCGGTATGGGCTGCTGTTGCCTACAGCTAACATTCCAAGCATGTAACATAAATGAGGCACGCAAATTGTACGATCAATTGGCGCCATTGTGTCCTATTATGTTGGCGCTTACAGCAGCATCGCCCGTATATCGTGGTTATCTCACAGAATCCGATTGTCGTTGGAATGTGATTAGCTCGTCGGTGGACTGTCGCACCGAGGAGGAACGTGGCTTGCGACCATTAAAAGAAAATAAATTCCGTATCGCTAAATCGAGATATGATTCAATTGATTCATATCTCTCACCAGAGGGCGCCAAATATAATGATGTGCCACTCACTTATGATGAGGCAGACTATAAACGTTTACGTGATGGCGGCATTGACCCATTACTGGCACAGCATATGGCGCATCTATTCATACGCGATACGGTGTCGTTGTTCAGTGAGAAAGTTGATCAAAACGACGAGGAAGATACCGATCACTTTGAGAATATTCAATCGACCAATTGGCAAACTATGCGCTTCAAGCCGCCACCACCAAATTCGTCGATTGGCTGGCGCGTTGAGTTCCGGCCATGTGAGGCACAGATAAGTGACTTTGAAAATGCTGCCATTGTATGCTTTGTTGTGCTGTTGACGCGTGTAATACTGTCGTATCAATTGAATTTCCTAATACCCATAAGCAAGGTGAGTGAGTAGTCGGAAGTGGAGATAAACAATTAAAAAGAAAAATTAACTCAATTGTATTGTAAAACTTCATTTTTTTTAATCATTATTACGTAATTTCAGGTTGATGAAAACATGCAAACTGCACAGAAACGTGATGCTTGCCGCAAGGAGAAATTCTGGTTTCGCAAAACTTCTAAAAAGTCGTGCTACATAAATGGCAATGGTGTTAATGGACTCTACAATGGCACCACTAAGGAAAATGGTGAAACTGAGAATGAGGAATTCGAGTTGCTAACATTAGGCGAAATATTCAATGGAAAGGTAAACTAAAAAACAATTGATTGCAAGACATAACTGAAGTTATAAAGGAAATTCTTTTATATTATTTTAGGCCGACTCATTCCCCGGTCTCGTGCCGCTCATACGCAGTTACTTACAGTCCATGGAAGTTGACACTGACACGCATTGCACAATTGAGCAGTATTTGCGTTTTATAGAGAAACGTGCTTCGGGTGAATTCGTAACCACAGCCACTTGGATACGCGAACAAGTGCTAAACCATCCGGATTACAAGTGAGTATTGATTTAAACAACTCAATTGTTTATATGTGCGCGCATAGAATGGATATTTAATGCGTTTCGGTAGCTTTTAATGTGGTTTTACGGTTGCACTTGTTACAAAGCGGTGATTTATTTTTCATTCATTTCGTTAATAAATCTTGAATTTGTACTGGACAAGGTGAAAAACGTATTAAGTTCTCATATTTTAAGAACTTTACTTATACGCCCCGACGGAAAAGACGGAGGACTATGTGGCCAAGCGTCTGGCTTTTTGTCATGAGCGTTGCCCCGTCACGATGTGAAAATCGTGTTCGGCGATTTAAACAACAGGACAGGGCAAAGAGCTTAGCTTAGGCACAACTTTCGGAAAATTCAGCATCCACGACGAAACCCAAATGGGTTCAGGCTGATCGACTTCGCCGGGGTCCGATATATGGTAGTCTGTTAGTATTAGATTTCAGTAAAAGAAAATTCATCAAGCTGCTAGGCTTTTCACTAATCGAAAAACTCAAAATCAGATCGATCATGTTAGCAGCAAGCATACGCATACGGCTCTGTGCAGCAAAGAACGCCCGTTAGCCAGTTTTCTGCTCGACTTGCACACCTGCTCTCTCAGAGCACTTATCAGCAACTCGTTATAAGGGTACTGTGGGACGGAATTTCAAGCTCACTACATACAGCCGCAAATAAAACTATGGGTTCTCGAAATGATCGTATAAACAGCTGGTAGATTACCTGCCGTGTAGTAGTAGTGGAGTGAAAACCTCATTGCTAACTAACGATCGACCACAACACGTGCGGAGTGGTACAGATGCCGACAGCTGAAGAGGGTTTCAAGACACATTTGCAGGCAAAAAATAGAGAGAGTCCGAGATGCATGAGTAAGAAGACCTTGAGAAGTTCGCTGACAAAGGTAATGCTCGAAAATTCTACGAAAAAATACGACGACTTATAGAAGGTTTCAAGTCCGATCCGGTCGGACTCTTAAAGGACACAAAGATGTGATCTAATGACTAATGCCCAGAATATACCGAAATTATGAGGGAACACTTCTACAGTCTGCTGAATGGCAGTGAAAGTGCAAACCCGATGAGCTGCCTACACATCTAACACCCCTATACCTCTGAGACGAACCCGTCGAAATAGCTCGGATTCCTGAACCTCCCATTAGATGATCTCTATGACTTAGGCTAACTAGCCCCTACAAGAACAACAAAGAATTTTCTCATAGTTTGCCTGTCGTAAAAGGCGACCAAAATGCAAAAGCTTCCGCGATGCGTACGGAGTGAATCGAATTTTGATCCTTCCAAGGAAACTACTTTGGGGAATATTTTTGCGCCTAAAAAACAACAACAGCCATATATCAAGTAACTCGGTTTTTAGAAAATTATCGGTTTAAATTTTTTTTTAAATATTTCTCACAAAAAAGCAGTATTTAGACATGATAGCACAGAATTTTTCTTTTTTATACTTTATTCAATTTCAATATGTTTTTCTCAATTCCTTCTCTATTACAGAAAAGACTCGATTGTGAGTGACCGCATTAATTATGATTTGCTTAAGCGAATCAAGGATATTCAGGAGGGTAAAGTTATCGAACCAATGTTACTTGGTAAAGGCAATCATTCCAAGACGAAAGATTCGCTGCCACCCGCACTGCAGAAACAATTGAAATTGAACGGCTGCTGTGAGAACAAATGACCACCCAATGCGCAGGCGCAAACTACAATTGGGCGAAGTTGTGATGAGCAGTAAATTTTTTTTATATATATAATGCGTAGAAATAAAAGAAATGTGATGCTATAGGTTTATGATGATGATGATGATGATGATGTTGATGATGATGATGATTATAATGATGAAAATCTTTTTTACCCATCGTCGATGCTGCAAATTGTATGTATTTTGTTATTATTTGATAAAAAAAAAAGATCAAGTAAAAGAAACAAAATATTATTTAATTAAATAAACTCTTGATGGTAATTGAATGAAATTACACCTTTATGGCAAATAAATAAACTTAAAATAAATAAAAACCTGATACAGACTTTATAGCAAAAATTAAAATTATATAAAATTATATAACAAGTTTATGGTCGTGAATAAAATCAAATAAAATTGTCTGTTTTTAAAAAATTGTTATTTATATTAATTAAGCAAATATTTACTAGTTTCTCTTTTGTGCTATATTCAGGTTGGAATTTTGTTCGTATAGTATTGTATGCCCTATCATTGCAATACATACGCATACGTGAATACATATGAACTAAACCAGTAACAGTAATTGTGAAGTATTTTGTATTGTTTTAAAAGTTAACCCGAAATGTTTATTCAAGAAATCAATATTGAAACGATTATTTATATTTACATGTTTAAAAAATCTCCTATCAAAGTTACTTAATTACAAATTAATTAAAAAATGCATTTAAGCTTTAACTACATACTTGAGTAATAATTAATTATGTGTATTGTAAACCCATACATTTCTTGGCTGCATAAGTTTTAAAGTTATTAACAAATTATCTAAAAAATATATTTCAAATCACAACGTGCTTTAGTTCTTATGAAGAAGATTAAAAAGAAAAACAGGTATTATTAAAGAAAAGAATTAAGAATCAAAATGAGTAATAAAACTGCAATTACAATTCTTATTAAACGTTATCAGAAACCAACAAAAACACAACGTGTCTTAATTGTTTCTTAAAATCAAAAATTTCACCCCAACGAGTCGTGTTGGAAAACAGTAAACGGCAATTCTTAATTGCACGGTGCTTCGTAAAATAAAAAGCGCAAAAGGAACCACCCTGTACCCAGTTTGGATGTATGACAACGAAACGCCACCGATGACGGTCGTAGTATTGCGTGAGAGCTTTCGATAGAGCCAAGGGTCAGTCTTTTTTGTAGCCACGTGTTATCTAGCTGTTGGTAGAGCGGGCTTTGCCTTGTACCTCCGTTGCCCACACACGCCAAGCACGATTTTCACATCTTGTCGGGGCCAGCCCTCGTTAGTATGCTCTAGGCGCTCATAAGAGGCATCTTTAGCCAAATCATCCTTCTCTTCGTGGAGTGGACGCAAATCACGAATACGTTATAAAATTTTGCTTGGATGCGGATTGTGGCGAGACGTTCATCCACCAGTGTGAATGCCATTACTCGGCGACGAAGTCCCTACCACCGCTCCTTTGCAGAAATGTCACAAGGGCCTACTTGTCCCGTCCATCACTCTTCTTGGACGGCGGTGATGTCTGCCTTTATTCTTATGAGGACATCAACTAGCTGGGCAGCGGGCACCTTTCCCAATTAAGAGACCGGATATTCCACGTGCGCGAGTCGTCATCAGAAGAAGAATCTCTCTTTCGTGACATGAATACATTTTTCTTTGAGGCTGCTTTCTATGTGCCTGGTCCCAAACTCAGCGCTCAAACTCAGGTGAATATACGCTGCAATGACTTCAGTGGATTCTTACACCGAGTAAGCCGTAGTGGCGCCACTGAAGCTTCCTCCCTCATTAGCCGTGACCTAAGGCTCCGCACTGGCTGGTTACCGCATCTTGCACAAGAGTTGCTCGCGCGTGCAGGGTGCGGGACGTGGACGCAAGAATACGAATTGAGTATAGATTCGCGACTGCAACAGCATACCCAGATGATCTGACGATATCAGCAGGGGTCATGTCACGGTCCTTATGTTATGTTACTTATCAGGGTTGCTATGTTGATGTCATGCTGGAAGCGAGTTTGTACTGAGACTCTAAAGAAGTTGACTCTGAAGGTCAGTGGTTGCAAATTCAGCCCGGATCCGAAGTATTAGAAGTAATGCTGCTGCAAGATATTGTTCTGTTGATGTATATACATCTAAACTTAGACCGGGATAGGTAGCAGAAAGAATTTCCTTACCTACCTTTTGTCCCTTGTTAATTGAAAATATCGGCAATGCTTGAATGAGAAACCTCCCTTTCGACGACTACCAGTGAGCAGGTTCTACGCACCAGAGTTGACTTGGATTTTACCCGGCTAAGGGCTGTCACCCTTTTGGCGACCTAACCCCGTTTATGTCAACAGGTAACATTTCAAGAGGAAAAATGTAAGATAAGTCGCTTTTAAATGGCGTCCAAAGAAGTGATTAATATCGTGTGGGCACTTAATACAAGCAGGACATAAGTAGGAATTAAGTCGACTACTACTATTATCCAGACCTTCCCTCTAGGTGGTGGTTGGAGTACGAGTACGACAATCACGAAAGTGTTGACAGACTCTCGGTGAATGGAGCATAAAATGTCCCGATACGCTGTGTTGTCGTTGTAGCGGTTCAGCTTCCATTAAGTGTTTGTTGGGTTTATCTCGAGGGCAGCACCCTCTAAGATATTTCATAAAGAACATAGTATTATACGAGCGTGTGTGATATAAGTGGTTTCCTTGTCACAGTTTTAAAGGACATGTTGTGGCTATTAGTTAAAGGTTATTGATTCTACATTAAAATAGCGATTGGTAGCTCTTCTTATTATCATTTATTAAAAGCCTAAAACTAAAATAAATTGTATGTAAAACTTTCCTGACTTATATGAAAATAACAAAGTAGCACTTAATTTTTTCATTTTAATTTAAATTAAATTGAGTCTGGACGATAGGCGCGGTACATGTTCATTTCATTCGGAAAGGTCTTAAAAAGTTCTAGCAGCATGTTAGCCTTGAATTTACGGTAAGCATCAATTTTGCCTTTGACTTCCTCATTCTTCGCCAATGCCTTCTCAACGCAATCCTTTGTGTATAATTGTGGATTCTTGTCTTGATCAATGTAATCGAATACTTCGAAGGGCACAAATACATCTTGAACTTGATTTTTAAGTTTATCAATCTCTTGAAGGCCAGTCACTAATCCTTGACTATAGGAATGCACACATGTATTATACAAATATATACAATAACTTAATAAATATTACTCACATCTTTTGATTCAAGACATTTTGACCCTATAAAGAAAATTTAAAAAATAATAATTTTATGCACTAAAATTACTCTCTATTTAGATCATCGTGCTTACCTGGGGCTGGAAATCGCTTACTATAATCCTAATCTGACGAACGTTTTCTATAAACATTTCCAATTGAGTTTCTAGATTTTCAAGTGGAGCAGACATTTTGTTAGTAAACTATTTTAAAATTTCTGGTAAAAGAATAAATTTTATTTTGCGAATTGAAAAACAGAACTGAGACAATATGCAATGGACGATCAAGTGAGCAAAATGTATGGTGAAAATGGTTGGCATATGTTGAAGGGTTGCCGATGTAGCGAAGAAATGTTACTATGGGTTTAAATTATTTAATTTACTAAACATAATCTCAGATGATCGAATTAGTCTACTGTGGCGAAAATTAAATATACGAATGAGAGATAAAACGGAGATGCCTTCAACTAAACCACATTCTAGGGCAGGTGTACCAATTATGTATATCTTAAGAACATTCCAGAAAGTATTAGAATTGAGCAATTAATGAGGTATATAAGAGAGAGTCAAGAGCTATAGTGGTTAGTTACAGAGTGAACTTGTTGGCGACAACATCGGTATGCAGTACAGAAGAATAAACTGTGTCTTGAGAGAGTTGTGTAGTTAGTAAACTGCGCGAAAATATTATTATTATTATAATTCATTATTTATTATAATTGAAAATTACAATAAATTGGAAACACTAGCTTCTAGGGCTATCGGTTATGTGTGAAAATAGTAGATTGTGAAAATTATAAAATAAGGCGTCGTATTTCGTTAAACAAGTTTCGATTTATTGAGTGCAATTAAACATTGATTAAGTTCTTCAATTAAGAAAGTAAACAACAAATTTGGTGACTTTTATTTAATACTTCATTGAAAATAGTTGCAATAATTATTTGATTGAGTTGTCATTAGTCTGCACCCAATGCGTGGTGAATTTTCTAACAAAATGCAGCCAATGCAATAACTATGTGTTTTGTTTTGATCTTATCATTCGCTTACCACACTGAAATTATTCGTTTCGTTGGTAATTTTTGCATTTTACGTAAATTGCACAATTAAAGGAAAACAAGTGAATTATGTCTCGACACGCTTTAATAGGTTGGTAGCTTTGAAAATTATATCTATTTCAACTTATAATGGTATTGCGTTGTTAGGCGGAGGTACTGGTTTTATCGGCAAAGGATTGAGCAAACACTTAATAAAAAATGGTTATGATATCACTGTCATATCACGCATGCCAGGATTAAACCGCATAACTTGGCTTGACGTAGAACGAAACGGAATACCAAATGGCATTACGTCTGTGGTAAACTTAGCAGGACAAAATGTGTTAGATCCAAGCCGTCGTTGGACAGATGGTTTTAAGCAAAATGTATGGACTTCACGTGTTAACACCAGCGCCGCGTTGGTGAAAGCAATATCAGCAGCACCGCAAGTCAAAGCCTTTGTAAATATTTCGGGTGTAAGTCACTATAAACCTGACAACAAACGCATCTATACAGAGAATGATACTGTCCAAGGATTCGATTTCATGTCTAAGTTGTGTCTTGAATGGGAAAAAGCTGCTACATTGCCGCCAGAAATTACTCATTGTAGAGGAGTAAATATTTGTAATTAATATTTATTGTAATTTTTTTCGAATTTGGCTACTTCTTACAGATCAAAATTCGTACGGGCGTAGTAATAGCGCGAACAGGTGGTATGATTCAGAATATATGGCTACCTTTTCAATTAGGTCTTGGTGGCCCTCTTGGTAATGGCAAACAATTTCTCCCTTGGATTCACTTGCATGATTTGTGCAGATTGATACAGCATTCGATAGAAACTGATAAAATTGATGGCGTACTGAATGCAGTAGCGCCGGAAATGGTAACAAATAGCGAGTTTTCAAAGGTAATTTGAATTTAACTTTTATTTTAATTTTTCTATGCAATTAACCTAAAATAACTCAAACACAATTCATTCTTTTATTTCTTATTTATTCAATTAATTTTAATTTTTTTAATTTTTCTGTTAATTTATAGGCATTTGCCTCTGCTTTGAGACGCCCTTGTCTCTTTCCAGTGCCAGAGTTTGTAGTACAAGCTATTTTTGGAAAGGATCGTTCAGCACTACTTTTGACTGGAGCCAAAATTAAGCCGGAGAGGACATGGGAAAGTGGTTTTAGTTACCAATATCCTTCAGCTAAAGAGGCTTGCTTAGAGGTAGTCCAAAAACGATAACTAAAAATTTTGTAATTTTTTTCGCTAGTTATAAAAAGGCGTTATTGAAAGAGGTTGAAAAGCCTAGACTAGCCTATCCTATACGTAACAGTTATTATTATTTTCTTCAATTTCCGAACATGTGGTAACACCGGGTGTCATTCTGACACGTCAGTTGTCAGTTGTCAATTTAAGCAGAATTTTCTATCGTTTGTAAAAGAAGTAGAAAAAGTCGAACGTAAAAGCAAACAAACCGAAATTAGTTGATAATTATTCATATAAACCAAAGATATTGCTCGCATTCCTTTTCAATTGTGTTTACGCTAAAAGTAAGTAGTTCATAAGACTCCCAATGCTCATTCTTGTTTTTGTCTTGCTGAAATCAAGAATATTTCTATTTTTGGTGCAGCCCCTATATCAAAGGCATTGCGTGGCACAAGCGAAATTCTCCGAAACATAATTGTATAAAGAGATTCTACAGCTGTTTTTAACTAGTACAAGTTACCATGCATCTACACGCACAACGATGGAGTTTTGTAGCGGTTTCACTAGCGATCTTGCTTTGTATTTCCTGCCGTTTTGGAAACGCTGTGGAATTCACCTTTGATTTAGCGGATAATTCTGAGGATTGTTTCTATGAAGAAGTACGTCGTAATACGACATGTTACCTGGAATTTCAAGTATCCGCTGGTGGTCAATTGGATGTAGATGTGACACTAACCAGTCCACATGGGAAAGTGTTATACGAACAACAGCGTTCAACGTTCGACAGTCATCAATTCACGGCGGAAGAAACGGGTGTATACAAAGTGTGCTTCAGCAATCAATTTTCATCATTTTCTCACAAAATTGTGTATGTTGACTTCCAAGTAGGAGATGAGCCGGCATTGCCAGGTATCGATGAACATGCTACTGTGCTGACACAAATGGAAACGTCTTCTCAATCGATACACAAGAGTCTCAATGATATTCTTGATGCCCAAACACATCATCGTTTGAGTGAGTCTAAGGGACGTCGAAGGGCTGAAGAACTAAATGAAGCCGTAAATATGTGGTCAGTTCTTGAGACAGCAATTGTCATGATTATTGGAATTGGTCAAATAGTTATCTTGCGCAGCTTATTTTCAAATCCTAAGCCAAGTGAATCTCGATACAATCAGTTGCGGTAGAAAAATAAATTATCTATTACTATTCAAAACGTGAAAGTATGAATTAAGATGCGAATTGGACGATATGCATAGAAAAGTACATACAATTATCAAAAAGAAATTGGTTCACCTTACGCTTATAAGTTTGTTTTCTTTTTCCTATACCTACTTGTAAAAACATAGATAACTATAATTTTTAAAACCATTTATGATTTGGTTATATTCAGTACCAATTGTAATAAATAGTTTCTATAGCCGAGATGTTAGTGTATTTTATTTCATATGCTAATTTTTTCATACAATTTTTTAGTAAGTTATTCGAAATATTGATTGAAAAATACTTTTTCGAGACTTCTGTATTGGGTGCTTCTGTGGCTGAGTTAAAAAATAATCCATGGCAGTTACTGGTTTCTTCCAGACATATTTTCTCCAAATATATTTGAAAAAAAAAAAAAAAACAACATTAGAACCTAATATCAATCTAATATCGCTAGCAAGTAATTTCTGAAAGCCGCACGCTTATCATTTGAATCAATATTTTTAATAACAACAACAATACATGTAAATATTCTAATTAGAAAACAACATGTGTGCGACATTTTCAACTATAAAATACAGCAATCCTAAAAATACTTGGCAACACTAATTCTCGCCGGACAGCTGATTTGGCTGTCAAGCTTTCTGAACGAACAACACGTGCATTTTGGCCGCTGCATCTCGCAAATCTATTTTTTGCAATCTCACATCATTTCCGTTTCGTTGCAATAGTAAGTTACTGGAGATAAAGATTAATTAAATAAGTTTGTAAATAAAGTGTTTTAACTACATATAAATATTTCATCGTTTGGGAATTATCTCATTAAAAAAATATTGCATAGCACGGCTGACACCGGCTGGTGCATGCATGTTTATTGCTTCGGTTTTTTGCAATTAGCTTGTGCAAAAGCTAAGATTTAGTGAAACTGCATCGAAAGTGATTTTTTTTTTTAAGTGTTAGTGTTTATTTTTTACACTATTGAAAATATTGAAAAAGTTAAATAATTTATTACCATATTTTGTGTACACAACTACATTGCAAGAAAGCACATTCCCTTCTTTTTCCCTTTTGTAGCGCAACAAAATCCAACAAAAGCAGAGCAAATACCCCAATTGTGTTTGTGAAATATAAATTGTGCATACATTTTTTAAAAAGGCAAAGTAAGTGTATTGAGAAAGAAAATTGAAAAATATTTCAAAGTGAAAGTGAAATCTACTCGAAAATTATTAATTTATAGAAAATGTTGGAACATCGTATGTTGCGCTACACTTTTTATAGCCTGACTACGGGGCTTTCGGTAGTGTTGTTGTCAGAAGTAATTTATCGTGGATATTTGTACGTGCGCGAACGTTTGTGGCGTCGCGATGCATCTGATGACGAAATTGCCGAAGTTATCTGGACGAATGAGTTGACGCAAATTTGTGCTGGTAGTCATATACTAAAATCGCCAACCGTGCATAATAGCCCTTCAAAAGTGAGCTCAGGCCTCTCCTCCAACGGTATGATTGAAAATGGTCATATTACGAAATTGCCAAGTCCAAGTAATAGTCCTATATGTAATAATCGCTTTTGTGCTGATCGTAATGTCGGGCGTTTAATATCTTTACTCGATGAGTCGAAATATACAATAGATCTAGCGATGTATACGTTTACTTCATATGTTTTGTGCCAGGCGTTCATGCGTGCCATTCGAAGAGGTGTCTCCGTGCGTATAATAAGTGACAAAGAAATGGTATACTCAAGTGGATCTTATATTATAACATTAACGAAAGCAGGTACTTGATATGCAGTTTTAAGTAAGCAATATAAGCTTGGAAAATATTAATATTAAATGTCATATATCATATATAAACATAATCAGCTGATGATGTCATACATACAAACATAAGTATATACACATGCTTATGGATGTATACGCATACATAAATGCGTACTTATAAATACAAGTGCACATAAATGCATTAGTAGTGAAGTGCGATAGAATCACCACAAAGATCACTGCAAACCCTTTTTATAAAATTAACTACATAAACATTTCTGGTTTTAATATACAAATTTTTGTTACACGACATACATATTAAAAAGAGCAACAGTAACTTGGAAAATATAGTGCAGTTTCTTTAACGCTATTAATTATTAGTATCTAAATTAAAAAATATTTAGAATTTGTCTAAATACACATATATAAATATCTACATAAATAGATGTACATTGTTTGTATATATATATATTATAAAAATTTTAATTGCATCCCAGTTGACGCTGATTCCGTATTTTTATTCCAACAAGTGTACCGCTTGCATGCTACCGAATAGCTCGATGAAAAGGATATTCGAAAATTTACTTTAATTATAAGTTGCATTAATTCCTATGTGCTGCTTTTGTAGGTGGAAAGCAAAAAGCGCCTCACATACGCTTTCAATTTGATTCGTTCTTCAAATCTTCTAGCAATGCCGTACAGAAACGATATCAAAAACTCGTCTTATTGGAGAAATTTAACAAACAAATGTTTAAAAATGTATGTAGGTATGCCTTGCTTCGAAAATTCAATGATAACAGCTGTTAAATAGCGGAAATCTTATGTAAAATCATAAATTAGTGGCAGCATGGTATCGCCTTTTCAACTAAGATCACTTGACTAAAATAAATTGCATACTTTTAGGCGCACAATTAACGGATAGGCTAATAATAATATATTGCTTCCGGCTCTAGCAAAATGTCGATAAGATAGTTGAAGTTATAAAAATAAGCACATTTATACAGAAGTTTCGCACTCAGTACAGAAAAACTTTATTACCAAAAGGATTTTATATCCCATAGGTGATTTTAAGCACATCTATGTCGACAGGGAAGATATAAAATTATAAATTAACCTCTATGTATTTCTTTTGTATTATTAAGAATGTTCTCTTTTAGGTGTACCAGTGCGTTGTCCAATGACCACCATGCTAATGCATCATAAATTTTGTCTAATTGATGCGCCAAAACGGGCGCAATCAGTTTTAGCTAACGTCGACAAATTATACGATTCTCGTAATGTGAAAGGTGTTCTCATGTCCGGTTCACTAAATTGGACAATGCAGGTGATTAGTGTTTAATTAAATAAATATATTATATATATATGTATACATTATAAATTATTCAAATTAATATCTTTTTGTTTTATTTATATTCTAGGGGTTCGGTGGCAATTGGGAGAATATTGTTGTCAGCTCGAATAAAATGTTAGTAGAACAATTCGAAGATGAATTTCAACGAATGTGGTTAGCTTTCGCTCCTCGGATGAGTACCTAAACAACGAAATCCATAAGGTAAGCTATTTTTTTGGTTAATTGGTTTTCAGGGATTTTATCGGGAGTGTCAGTCCTTGGCTAGATAAATATCCGGGTCGTTCCGTTATAAAGATCCGACGGTCGCGGGAACTAGTAGATTTTAGTTGCCTCTTACAACAGACATGCCTTACAACGGTAAATTCTTGAGCCCCTAATCCGCAGAGCACATCCATTACGCTAATTCAAGACGGTAATTAGACAATAGACGACCCTTTTTAATTATACAAATGACTGATAAATTAAAAAAAAAATTATAAGCTGATCAAAAATTAAAATTTTTGTATGGGAAAAATGTTTGTAATGCATTAATATTATATAGCAATTTATTGCTTTATCTATACAAATGAAGGTCCCTAATCAATTGTCCATTGACGAAAAATTGTGAACAAATAGTGGATTTGAAGACAACTTGTGACTGATTAAAGAATTCTCTACCGCTGTGAACTTTGTCATGATTTAGACTAATTTGCTTCATATTTACAGTACAACATATTCTTAATGCCTGCCAAAATAATTAATATGTACATACATAACTCATTTCAGCCGACGATTTATCAATATCACTTTACACTTAGTAAACGTCTAGTAAAAGTAAAGAAGAAAAAATATAAAGGAACAAGAATAGTTCGCAGTAATGACCTATTTTTTGAAGCATTTAAAAACTCGCTTGTTGCTTACGCTCTCCATTGTTGTTTTAAGGATGTTCTCAAATTGTCACATGTTGTCACTTTTTTTTTCTTTCTGCGTAGCGCTTATTATTTGTATTTTCCATAAATCTCCCAACAGTAGGGGGTCATACTCGTTTTCTTCGGTATTGGTGTATGAAAAAAAAATTATAAATACAATCACATACGTGTACATACATACATATGTATGGAATTACTACACAATACTTAACATGCTCGACTTATTTGGAGTATAACTTAAAAAACTGCGGTCACACAAATGCATGCATGTATTGGGTTGCCCAAAAAGTAATTGCGGATTTTTTAAAAGAAAGTAAATGCATTTTTAATAAAACTTAGAATGAACTTTAATCAAATATATAATTGCTTCTCCTTGATGGCTGTATTCAATTTGTTCAATTGTTGACAGTAAACATTCGAATTAATCGTTTGGTTTGGTTAAAATATACGACACCTTTCCAATCCCACCAAACAGACAGCATAACCTTCTTTTGGTGGATATCAGCCTTTGAAGTGGTTTGAGCTGGTTCACCATGCTTGGACCATGATCGTTTTCGACTAACGTTGTTGTAAACAATCCATTTTTCATCTCCAGTTATGATTCGTTTTAAAAACGGATCGAATTCATTGCGTTTAAGGTGCATATCACAAGCGTTGATTCGGTGTGTTAAATGAATTTCTTTCAATACATGTGGTACCCAAATATCAAGCTTTTTCACCAGTCCAAGACTTTTTATGTGATAATGAACGGTTGATTTTGGTATATTTAACTTCTCTCCTATCTCACGCTCAGTTACATGACGATCCAATTCGATTAATGCTTTGATTTGGTCATCATCAACTTCATTTGGCCGACCTGAACGTGGCTCATCTTTAAGTGAAAAATCTCCAGAACGGAATTTGCGAAACCAATTTTGACACTGTCTTCCTTTTAAGGCTTCATCACCATACACATCTCGTAACTTTTTAGCAACCTGCTCCGCGTTTTTTCCTTTACGGAAATAATAAAGTAAAATATGACGAAAATGCTCCTTTGTGGGCTCCATATTAAAATTGACGCCAAACAAACAAATGTAAACAAAATTTCGCGCACTTTTTTTCTAAAGCAAGCTAAAAGTAACAGCTGATAACTGACAGAAGAAAGAATGCAATTACAGAGTCACAAGCCGTTGAGAAAATTTGTCAACGCCGACTATATGAAAAATCCGAAATTACTTTTTGGGCAACCCAATATATTAGTGAGAATTTTTGAAAACATTAATTTACTGTCTGTTTCTTGTTTCCTTACAAAATATATATATTTTTTTTGTTTTTCCAACCTTTTGTTAGTATGTAATCCTTGTAATTAAGGAAATATAAAAATGCTTACAAACATATATTCATTTGGTATATATAAAACTTGAAACATTTCAATCAATTTTCTTAAATTTGTATGAATTTTGTATCAGAATATCTCTTAGTTCCACTTATTTGTATGAATTATTTGTTTGGTAGTTTAAACTGACCATAAAAAAAATCTAAAAAAAAAATAAGTTCTCTTTAGTCATTATGAAAATAAAAACAATATGTCAAGTATAACGGCTCTACACAATCTACACATGAGCGCAGCCTGTGGTCCTATTTTCTCTATATGGGACCTTAACTAAAACTCGGAACGGCTTTGCATCATTAAGAAGCGACATTTTAATTAAGCATTGCTAAGATTTTCTATTTTTTTTTTTTCATAACTTATGTATTTATAAATATCCATGCATATCTATGAACTTACAGAAATAAATTAATTTGTTTTTCCATGCGGGAATTCTATAAATTTTTTCAACCAAAGTTTTTTTTTTAATTTAAATACTTATTTTTGCCTAAGGATGCTGATAAATTTATTTATTTATTTTTATTTTTATTTTTAATAATTCATAGTTAAACAGTCACCTCTCGAAATTGTATATTATTTTGTTGATTAAAATTTAAAATCAATTAAGAATCAGCAAACTTTCTGGGAAGAGTGTCTCCATGCTTTTAAAAGTCTTAATTTTATTATAATTTCGCAAAAATTATTATAGAGGCGGCAGATACTGGCGTTTGTTTTTTTCAAGCGCTTGTAATTTTTCGATTTACACATCGCTTTTGTTTGCGTTGTGGAATATTTACTATATGTACATCTTTTAAATGATATTCAACAGAAAATTTTTCCACTTTGTCATATTCTTTTTCATAATTGCTGGTCACTTATTGATTTTAGTTGGTTGTTTGTTGGTAGAAAATACTTGGCCTCTATTCATTTTGACTACTTACATACTTTGAGCTGCTTCTGAGCTATGATTATATATATATATATATATATATATATTTGTTACAATTTTCATATTTCTCTTTATTTTGTTTATCCTTATTGCCATTGGTAAGGGCCTAATTACTATATTATTATGAACAACTGTTCGTGTTTGCTAATTTTTTTGCTAGCAATAACAGTTTGGCTTGGCATAATCCATTGTAATATTAGGTTTTATGTGTAGCTAAGCTAAGCCGGTTGTGTTGCTTGCGTGTTTGTCTTGCTTTTAAACCGTTTAATTGCACTGTTATCCAGTTAAACATAATTTTTTGTATTTTTTTTGTATGCAGTACATAGACACATATTGCATATTCGTTAGGGTGAATCTATTTGTAAAAAAAAATGAAAAAATAAAAGAGAATCCCTTCGACTACTCCAATGAAGTTCCAAAACAGCAGCTAATTAATTTTCTTAATTTTCAATTTTGTGATTTAATTGCATTTACTTTTCATTGACCATTATTATCTATAGAGTTTTGCCATTTTTCGGGTATTTTCGTAATTCCAGTAAAGTAGAGTTTCTGTGCTTTATTGGCGAAGAACTTGATCAAATCATGTGCATCAACTCTTCGGTCATTCAATATATTTACCGTTAACAGAGTTTTGCACATACCGAAACAAATGGAAGTCAGAGATGAACTGTTTGAAGAACTTTTTTTATGCTGGTTAATTGCTGACAGCAGAGCTCAGAGCTCAGCAGAGCTCAGAGTTTCGCTGGCTCATAATGTCCAATTCCCTTTAAACCCATCATACGCTGCATCACCTTGTTCGCCCACCTTTGACCATGTTATTTTTTTGGTTTTATATTTTCATATTTTATCCATTTTACATCGTCCGTGGTGATTCGCTTCAGAAGTTGCCTAATGCCCTCGCTATCTCCTGACAACTTGCAGTTCAGTCTTGGACCACCAGTTACAGCGTTTCATTTGCTTTTTATGTGTCTCAGCGGCCAGAACGAGATGCATCGTTGATAACGAAATTTCCGCAACGGAATCGACCAAAAAACTGCGGGGTCCGAACTCACTTCACTTTCACTTACAGCATTCTCAGCCTAAAATTCACGCATTATTCGGTACGCTTTTTCAACGCTTCTGCATTTTGAAATTAAATTAATTTTTCGCATAAATGAATATTTAATGAACATATTTTTAATTATATTCATATTTATATTTATATTTATATTTATATTTATATTTTTATATTTATATTTATATTTATACTTTTATTTTTATTTTTATTAATATTTATATAAAAATTGAAGTTCCAATCCCTCTGTGTGGATAAAAAATAAAAAACTATTTAAATACTTCAAAATTATGTTAACAAGAACTGAGGTTATTTCAAGACTGGTTCAAGGATTTTCCCGCGGTAAAGCATGCCTGTCGTAAAAGCCGACTAAAATTCAAAAGTACCGGAAATACCCGGATATTTAGACGGCCAAGGACTATCATTCCGGCAACAATACCCAAAGGATTGACTTGGGGAATATTGTTACGACAACAACAACAACAACATCATCAACTTTGGCGTGTGTGCTGAAGAGTCTGCGAAAAGGTTGATCGTCGCTTTATGACGCATTTAGGGAAGCTTAAATATATACGTATATAAATATGTATATACGAATCCGTGCTCCTCCATGTGTTAGGAAAGTGCTTCGGTTACGAAAGAACTTAATTATGTATCTTAATTACAACGAAATTGTTTTCACGACCAATATACATACATACATACATACAAAGTATTGAAAAGATCGGCTCTTCTTTCTAATTACAAATTAAAAATTACCCCATATACAATATGTACATATATATGTACATAAGGGGGTTAGGGTATGAAGGTACTGTTCAGCTGAACTGTGCTGAGCTGAGCCGAACTGAGCCGAGATGTATCAGCCTCATTAATTTTCCATTAATGATTTGCATTTTCACGCTTCAATAAGCGATCATATCGGTTCTAGTCATAGTTTTT